ACATGCCAGCCACGGGGCTAAAGCTTACAGAAACAGGACACGGTCGGAGACACGGAGAGGAGGGGGGGGGGCGCTTAGTGGAGAGCGGCATCACGCGAAGATAATGTGCCACAAAAACACATCCAGCCCTGTGCAAGAGGCCTACTCACTGGGCGCACGACTAACGTGAGTCTGTCGTTGTGTTCACGGCATGCGTGCCGTAAACAGAGCGTGACCTTTTTATTTTGTGTGGTGCCGCTTGCGTACGAAACTAAAAGAAGACACGTCTGCATGAGCACAGCGGTGGATTCGTCTTCTGAAGTTCTCTTTTTTCATACAAACCATGGCCGTTTATACTTGTTTTTGTCCCACTAATGTTTTTTAATGGTTTCCTTGTTTGTTTTATAGGTTGTTGCCCGTAGCCGAATCTATTGTTGACTTAATGAACCGTTATTAACTATTTGTAACTGCAAAACTGACCATTTGCCTTTTCTACTCTACTACGCTGTTTGCTTTAAAATGTTCTTTCCTCGGTTGCCTCTGTTATATGAGTTGAAGATGACCTACAGTGGAGCCCACACACCAAAGGCACGACACTCCTGCCTGGCCTACTTGCGGTTGCTATTGTACGATAGGACAATTGCTTAAATGGAGAGCCAAGCAAAGGTAGCGCCCATTAACCTGAAATGATTAGGAGGAGACGCACCCAACCTGGCAGCCCAAGTGGCTTGTTAACTTCCAATTGATCTACATGGCATCATTACAAATGATTCATCATGTATCAATTTACACAACTTTGATACAGTGACACATTAGAAACTAGAGCAGTATGCACCTGAATGGCCTGCTGCTGTACCTGGTTCAGCCAAGACCGCAACCAGATGCTGACAATCCAGCCAGAGAGAGGCGGGGCGTAGATGTTTGTTTACAAATGAAAAAATTGTAGTCGCTGCAGTTGCTCATTGGATTATGAAGTGAGTGCCAAGTGTCCCAGATTGGCAACGGACACCGAGGGTCAAAGAGAGAAAAAGCACGGCAGCAACACAGAGAAACAAACGCGTCTGTGGTGTATTACTGATCCCTCTTGGCAGGTTAAAGTAATCAAGGGAAATTCTTTCTGTAAGATTGTCAGAATGTGTAGAAGTCTATAAGAAAGTTTGGTGAACATTGTGAAAATTCACATCGGAACAACGCAAAATAATTTGCATTCAATTAGATGAATTCAAGCAACTTACCCAAAATCTCAGGTACCATGCTAGTTAGCCTGTTCCGATCACGCTATTGACATCGGGCGTTTTTTTGCTGAGACTTGTTGCACAGCAACGCAACGCAGCAACACAACAAAGCAACGCAACACAACGCATAGGCAGCGCAGAAAACTTCACTCCCCCTAAAGACGGTCACAATAATTTGCCTCCCAGGCGCCAAAAAGCCTTTTGTCTTCGGGCCTCAATGCAGTGAATGAATTAATCATGGTGGAAGACCTGGCAGGAGTGGCCGGGAGGTTCAAAGCTCACGTCCCATTTGATGCTATTTAAGATTATTTTATCTTTGTTTTCTGTCTTGCCAGCAAATGTCCCACTTCCTTGGAACTTTGCGTTGTCATTTATTTTAAATGACAACGCAATGTGCTGTTTTTCCGGTGATAACACACCGTTGCATAAGAAGCATCAGAAGGTGCTTGTATGTGTTTGCATTTCTGATGTGGCTTGATAACAGCAGGAGGAGGAGTTATTGCTCCGGAAGCTCAAACAGTCATGTTGTTTGACAAAAACACTTTGATAGCAGGACTTCAGCCGATAACAACTGTGGTCACAGTGTTTAAAAACATACTGCGATCCATAATCAGACCTTGGTGACAGAGAAGCCTGGCATTATAAGTACTAGCACTGCAGGGGCATGTTTCAAGGAGCCTGAACCTCTACTAATATTATTATTAATAAAATACTAATTCCATCTTCTTTGAAGCAAATGATGAGTGGAACACTTACATTTCTCCTTAGAAACCAGTCACACAAATGCTCAAAAAGCTTAAAGCTCCTTTTACATTACATGTCATTTAGCTGACGCTTTTATCCAAAGCGACTGACTTTGCATTTTTAACCCACGGTTAGGGCATCGGACACGAAGCAGCCAGGGTTCGAACCGCCAACCTTGTGGTTCCCGGTGCACCCTTTCTACTCCATGCACCAGTTTCTTGTTATTGTCACTGCAAAGTCTGATCGAACCAGACTGACTCAATGACTGTGTGTTTAATAAGGTCAATGAAATACATTGTTGATGAACCATATCATTCTTTTGTTGTTTGGTAAACTGTTTAAAACGAGCCCATTACGTTTCCAAAGTGATTTTTTGTTGTTCAACCAAGAAAGACCATGTACTTTCAAAGAGGACTGAAACAAAAACAAAACAGCTGACTACATTCTCTGTAAATAATGATGAAGGATCAATAGCGCGTTATTAATCCAAAAATGGACTGCGGCGGTGTTATGTATAAATGCAATTTCCCCTTTAGGATGAATGTTTATTAGACAAGTAAAGTTCATTCTATCCTGAGATGCATATAGAAGGAAAACACAGGACTCCTGAGAACAGAGCCCTGAGGCACACCCCCCTCCAAGAGCACAGGCAGAACACACGACTCACAGGGGACCAACTCTTTCCTTTATGACATGTCAGAGGGGGGACTATTCAAAAGCAGGTCCTTATGTGTCATTCCGGGTTTTAAAGAAATAAATCGGCGTGAGAGGCATCACTTGGATTTGACACCCGCAGAATGGCTCGGCCCAGCGGGGCTTAGGTGTCAGTGGAAAGAAGTGCGGGTGAGAGAGTAGTGCGGTCAAGCCGACGCCTCCGTTCACACACAAATCCACTAACGTTGATGATGGAGCCGGGCGACAGTTGACGGGGTTTTCCACCGTTCGATTGGAACCAATTTAATCAGGCGTGAGGACATCTGAACATGTGGAGTGTTTCCCTCTGAGCGGACGTCATGAAATACGTCACTTTTATCAATGAAAAGTCATAAGAGACTCACAATTTCCATGTAGCATTAAAAACAAGAACAACACTTACATTGACCTAACCAGCGCACGTTTGCTTGTTTTAATCAGATGCCCACAATCTAATCCTGACCTTCTATCTTCCTCCGTCTGCTGCGAGGGTGGTTAACTCGCGCTTTAACCCACACATTAGGCCAAATCCAGGTTACCCAAAAGGCTACATTGGACTCTGTGACACCCCACTTTTGCTCTTGTGCCGAATGGTGTAACCAAGCTAAACCCAGAGCGCTTCCCGGGCTCCTCGGCTGTCCGGCCCGATCTTGCGCTGGAGACCCAGGCAGACGGATCAAAGAGGAAAAAGGGCCGATCGCAGAGAGGAACGGCAGCTACGTGTGAAGCTGATCCACTCGGTTTAGCGGGAAGTTCACTGGGTGCAGCGTGGAGCGCTCTGCCAGCCGAGAGACGGCGAGAGAGCCCAGGTCAATATGTGGTGTTCCGCAATTACGGCGAACGGGATCTCCCTGTCCTGACCTCGCCTGACATTTGAGTACAATTACGCGGCCAGGAGTTTGATCAAGCCGCGTGGCAGCGAGGGAAGGCAAGTGTGAGGAGGAGTACTTTTTTTCTCACTGTGATTACAAAGCAGCCTCCGGGAACACATTAGGCACCGCACATTCTGTGCTCTTATACGTGTGCTGTACTTGGCCTTTGGGCCAAAACTTCCTGTTATACCACATATAAATGTCATAGCATTCTTCTCTGAATCTAATCAGAGGCAACAGAGGACATTGAACCCCTGAGGGGGAAATCATCTGACATAAGCACCGTCAAGTGGGAAGAAAACAATTTAAACCTATACAAACCCATGAGGCACGCAGTACTGTGTACTGATAGTACCTTCCACCAGTGGGGAACAATATGTACTGGCATGGACGGCCAAGGGGGGGGGCAGTTGGACGCTACGATTGATTTTTGGAAACATCTGATGACAAGTGGCAGCAAAGTCAGAAGAGTAAAGTACAATGAATATAATATGCAGTTATATAATACAACATAATACAATAAGTAGGACTTTACATTCAAATACATTGAACACAAAAAGCTTAAAGGTGCATTCAAACTGTTTAATATTGCACCTTCAGAATGGATGGAAAAGGGTTAATTTAAGAGGAATGTGGGCGTGTCTATGTAGTTTAAGAACTTATCACTCTAACAGCATCCTCCACACCCTCCCTACCGGTTTGTCAAAACCTTTTATCACAAGCCCATAGCGCTGATGACATCATGATGACATCATCAGGGTTATGATAATCTTCATTTTAAACACCCCCCCTCCGTTAAAACCTGACAGATTTCTTTTTTTTTAACATAAAATTAACTGAGAAGCCTTCCTTGGAAACCGTTTGTAAGAGTGCGGGCACTCGGGACACTAAGCGGTGGACTGGCTGAAACACCTGCCAGTCAAGCTGCTGCCGAAGCCAGTCGAGAGACGACCAAAAGACATTGTCCCATTGAGAAAAAAGTCTTCAGTGCCCCTCTTCACCCCTCTTTCTAGAACAAACTATGCAGTTCTGATCAAGGATGATGCTACGCAAACCTCTGCAGGAGCAACCATTGTTCCCGCCTTTATCTCTCGCGTGGCCCCCTGACCCGGTGAGGGTCACATCGGACAGCTGTCTTCACGAAGGAGACAACTGATCTTCTTCGAAAGCCCTTTTATACTCATCTATCCATGCTGGTGTCCTCACCGAGTCCTTCATGAACACGCACACATGCACAATCACGCGTGCATTGAGTGATCAACGGGAAGCCTTTTTTTGGCAAACATCCTCACACCAATATGTCAGCAGCCAGCAGGGGACGGAAAGTGTTTACGGCGGCGACACGTCCCCAACAAGTCACTCTGAATGAGGAGGCTGACGCACACCGCTTAATCATCGGCCAATTCTCTCTCCGACCCTCCGTGCCTCCCTGCCAGAATCTCACTATAAACACCCACCCCCCCATCCTCCTCTTCCTCTTCTCCCCGAGTCCCAGTGCGAGCTGCTGCATGCCACGGAAGCAGTGACGTCAGTTGTTTACCGTCTTGTGGGTCGCTTCTCGTTGCAGTGCAGCAGCACATCCAGCAGGGCTTATGTAACCCCGCTGCACGACTGCACGACAGGAGGGCTGCTGCAGTGTGTGAGTGCGCGCGTGTGTGCGTGCGTGAAGTGAAAACACACGTATTGGCTCCAAACGGACCTCCTCTCTCCCTTCCCCACGCGTGCACAGAGATATCCCAGGATGCACCGCTGCAGCAGCAGGAGCGGACAGGTAAACAACCGCAGCTGGCGTGCGACTCCGCGATCAGTGACGTGCAGACCTGCGCCACCGCGGAAGAAGCAGCAGGAAGCAATGAGCAGGACCAAATATGGCTTGCTGTTGAAAGAAGTACGGAAGCTGACTTTCGTTTTTCAGATCACAACGAAAAAATAGTTTGTTTTTTTCAGTTGAGAATTCGTTGAGAATGGACGATCACACGTGTGTTTAAATGAATGTTTGATTCATGGAAAAAATGATGTTTATTTATGCTCAATTATATGTTATTAACAATTCATCAAATCTTTGTATAATGTTTCTAAATGCAGGAGAAGGCACTTTAATGGCATGGTTCCCCCCCAAATCAATTTTGAATCAATTTGTTTATCCTCTTACCTATAGGGATATTTATCAATATAGATAGATGTGTAAAAAACCTTTCGAACTATTTGTTGAATAGGAAGCACTTTAGTAGCGCTTAAAATGGCATAAGAAATTATACTTATTATTTTTGTAAATTGTTTCCATGAAATTTCCCCTTAAAGTAAAGTGTCACCATCTAATTTTTTTCTCTAATGCATTCATATGCATAGTGTGAACATTAATAACTGTATTCTTTGTAACTGTTACCTTTATTGATGAACTTTTGTGATGTTGTTTTCAAATTTGCAAACTCCCTGACTCAAGGGTCAAAGGTTAGCGTCATTGATTGAGCATCCAAACGTATTACATTGTCAAAAAAACAAGAATTGTTGCATTTGTAGTATTTTGGCATGTAACTTGACGTAACATCATCTGCCTACTGGCCCTTGTCACAGCCAAAATTAGTTTATGAGGGAAACAAAGCATGAGGTTAAAAGTCTTGGAGCTGTATTAGTGGCCCATTGATGGGTTTTATTGGACCAAGACCCAAAACCCAGATTATTTACTCCCTCAAATAAGCACAGGGAATATAGTGATTCTTGCAGAATTTGTCTGTTACAAAATGATCCCAGGTCCCTTTAGGTCATCACAATAGTTGCATAAATGATTAACCAGGTCTTAATGTTCTTAGTGCCACCCGCAAATAGACGACTGATCCAAATGTCCTCATAGTAATTGTTGTGAAGGGAAACGCCTGATCGCTGTCAACTAGTCCGCATTCCTGTATTTTACAACTAGATTACTACTGGCTGACTGGCTCCAGACCTCTGGTGGTAAACAACCTCCCTGGCTGCGCCTCCTCAGCACCGCAGCATCTCAGTGTCGTCCTCTGCCGGCGAAAAGGAAGAGCAGCAATGCTACTACTACAGGGAATTCAATCGTTTTTTAAAGCATTCTGTTCATCATAAACATCTCAGGACAAACATGTTTTTACGCACGGCGCAGAATGTGTATGAAACAACATGAACGCGTAGCTCATAATATTACATAAAGCTGCTGAACGTATTCTTAATATGTAAATAATATAAATGTTCATTTTTAAACATAAAAAAGGCACACATTAAAAGTGTGAATCACGTGAGGCCCAATTCGCGGTTTTTGATTAACAATTTTTAATGTTTCAAATCACAAATTGACGCTGTGGGGCAACGAAGGTTCCGCTCTTGTTTCCGGGGGACCGTGTTCCTCGTAGGTCCATTCTGCGACTACAAGGAAGTGTCCAGCATGTAGCTCCCAGGCAGAACCCTTACGTCCGCTACATCTTCTTCTCTGAAGGATACAAAAAGGGTAACATTGAAATGCGATGCATGTATTTATTTAGTCAGCGTGCATCGTTGCCGTTTCTAGAATGAAGCCGGAGAACAACACCTTCCGGTTTGTTCTCAACGCGGTAGCTCGGCGTGATCCCCTCACGCTTAGTTGTATGTGTGAACGGAATATGACTTTTCAGTTCAATTACCCTTATAATATTGTAAAAGTTGTCGGTCAATGTGCGTAACTTTTCTGCACAGACACGCCGATGAAACGCCAACGTCACATGAGACTTTTATTTTGAAACTAATCCAACCCGAGTTGACAGCAGCGTTGCGTTTGACAGCAGATTCATGTAAATAACACGTTCCTTTGAGGCTGAACGAGACGCTTTACTTCATGTGAAACTCAACGTTTAACCCAGTATTGGATGTTATACTTTCCACCATTTTTAAGGTAAACTCAGGCTTTTCTTTTCTTTTAAATTTGCGTGCTACTTTCAGTGTCAGTTTAAAGGAGCTCTTCTTTTGTTCATGTTCGAACATGTTTGATTTCTGTGGATCCATAATCGACTCAGCAGTTATTGGAATAGCAAGAATAATCAGCTTGTATTCATAACTGTTAAGGCTGTTTTATTGTTGACATTGAAATTCTACTAATTTAAGAGGCCAAATATGACAGAATGAGTGATATTTTCACAATCGAAGCTGCCGATTGTTGATATCCAAATCTTTCAATTTAGACATATTCATTAAAAACCACTAACCATTAGTATCATAGTTGATTAAACTGCTAATTGTTTTTTATCAACTACACGATTGATCATCTGGTCTATATCATTTCCAAAAAAAAGTGAAAAATACCGATTAAATGCCCAAAACGGATGCTGAGGATTTTTTCATTTAATGGAAAAAATGAAAAAAAACAACTATTCAGTTGATAGACGTGGCTGACTTTCGAATTGTTGTATTGGTTTCAGATTTCACCATGGAGGAGGCGTCCAGCGATGCAGCGGGTCGGCCCGTTGTTGCTGCTCGGGTTCCTTTCCTTCACCTTTGTAATACTTTAGAGAAAATCCAGAAGTCTAAACTCCGCCCGGAGAAATCCAAGATCCTCGGGGATTTCATTGAGTCATGGAGGAACTTCCATTCGGCTCTGCACAAAGACAACCCCAAAACGACCGACTCCTTCTACTCAGCCATGCGCCTCATAGTGCCCTCCTTCGAACGAGACCGGGTTGCGTACGGCATAAAAGAGAACATGTTAGCCAAACTCTACATCGACGTGCTGGGCCTCCCAAAGAACGGCCCGGAAGCCCATCAACTGTTGAACTACCGCGCTCCGACCACGTCTCAGGGGGAAGCCGGAGACTTTGCTGGCATGGCGTACTTTGTGCTGAAGAAACGGTGCGCCAGCCCAGGGACCCTCAGCATCAAGGAAGTTAACGACTTCCTGGACTCGGTGGCCATCAACAACGCGGGCAAGCAGAAGGATCTGGTGAAGAAGAGCCTGCTGCACCTCATCACCCACAGCTCGGCTCTGGAGCAGAAATGGCTCATCCGGATGATCCTGAAGGACATGAAGCTCGGGATCAGCAAGGAGACGGTGCTGCAGGTCTTCCACCCGGATGCGGCCGATTTCTACAACGTCAACACGGACTTGAACAAGGTGTGCCAGCAGCTCCACAGCCCCTCCGTGTCCTTAAGCGAAGTCTCCATCGGGCTCTTCTCCGCCTTCAAGCCCATGTTGGCGGCCGTGGCGAACATCCGCAACGTGGAGAAGCAGATGGGGAACGGCCCTTTTTACATTCAGACCAAGCTGGACGGGGAGCGCATTCAGCTGCACAAAGACGGCGACGTGTACAAGTACTTCAGCAGGAACGCCTTTGAATACACCCAGCAGTTCGGAGGATCGCCGCTGCAGGGCTCTCTGACGCCGCACATCCACAACGCGTTCAAAGGCCACGTCGTCAACTGCATCCTCGACGGGGAGATGATGGCGTACAACCCGACCGCGGAGACCTTCATGCAAAAAGGGAGCAAGTTCGACATCAAGAGGCTCATGGAGGACTCCGAGCTGCAGACGTGCTTCTGCGTCTTCGACGTTTTGCTGGTCAATGACCGGAAGCTCGGCAGGGAGACCCTGAAGCAGCGCCACGAGACCCTTCAGACGGTCTTCACGCCGGTCAAGGGGCGGCTGCACCTGGTGCCGAAGGCCGACGCCCGGACCATGCACGAGGTGGTGAACGCGCTGAACGACGCCATTGACGGCAGGGAGGAGGGGATCATGGTGAAGGATCCCATGTCTCTCTACAAGCCGGACAAGAGGGGGGAGGGGTGGCTGAAAATAAAGCCCGAGTACGTGGACGGCCTGATGGATGAGCTCGACCTGCTGATCGTCGGCGCCTACTGGGGCAAAGGAAGGCGGGGCGGTATGATGTCCCACTTCTTATGCGCCGTCGCCGAAGCCCCAAAGCTCGGCGAGAAGCCCTCCGTATTCCACACGCTGTGCCGCATCGGCTCGGGCTACACCATGAAGGAGCTGTACGACCTCGGCCTGAAGCTGGCCAAGCACTGGCGCGTCTACCGCAAGAACGACCCGCCGGCGTCCATCCTGTGCGGAACGGAGAAGCCGGAGGTCTACATCGAGCCCTGCAACTCGGTCATCATCCAGGTCCGGGCGGCCGAGATAGTCGGCAGCGACATGTACAAGACCAACTGCACCCTGCGCTTCCCCAGGATCGAGAAGATCCGCGACGACAAGGAGTGGCACCAGTGCATGACCCTGGCGGAGCTGGATCAGTTCCGCGGCAAGGCGTCCGGGAAGCTTGCCTCGCGGCACCTCCGCATCGACGGCGACGAACCGCAGAAGAAGAAGCGCAAGCTGCCGGCCAAAGCCAAGAAGGCGGTCGGGATCATCGACCACTTCAAGCCGCAGGACCTCTCCGGGGTCACCAAGGAGACGGACATGTTTGAGGAGGTGGAGTTCTGCATCCTGAACGGCACAGCGGATCACCCCAAGGCCGAGCTGGAGAAGGGCGTGGCCAGGTAAAGTCACAGAAACCTATCAAAGGGAAGCAATGCTTAAATGATGACCGCTGTCTTCGCCTCATTAGGTGTGGAGGTTTCGTGGTGCAGAACCCGGGTCGGGACACCTGGTGCGTGATCGCCGGCGCTGAGAACGTGCGCGTGAGGAACTTGGTCTCGTCCGACCAGCACGACGTGGTGTGGGCCTCCTGGCTGCTGGACTGCCTGGCCCGGAAGGAGGTGGCGCCGTGGCAGCCGCGCCACATGATCCACATGTCGCCCTCCACCCGGGAGCACTTCGCCAAGGAGTACGACAGCTACGGCGACAGCTACGTCGCCGACACGGACGAGCAGCAGCTGAGGGAGGTGTTCGGGCGGATGAGCGGCGCGGACGCGTCGGCGGTGGCGAGCGCCAGCCAGGTGGAGCAGCGCTACGGCTGGGAGGACCTTCCCACCAGCATGTTCAGACCCTGCCGGGTCTACATGGACCGCTACGCCGAGATGGGAAAACCGCAAACCGCCTTGGCCGCCAGCTGTTTGGAGATAAGGGCTCTGGAGTTGCGCTACCACGGCGGTGCGGTGACGCAGAGTTTGGAGGAAGGAGTCACTCATGTCGTTGTCACAGAGGAGACGAGACTTCTGGGTTTCAGGACTCTGAGACGCAGCTTCGAGAAGAAGTTTATGATTGTGAGGGACTCATGGGTGACGGATTCCATTGAAGCCGGGCGCCTGATGAATGAGGCGGACTACTTGGTCTGAAGAGTCGTCTGGTGGCACATGCTTGTCTAGTCAGCGTTTTTTAATTATTATTATTTTTTACTATAAGAAGGTAATCACTGTTTTAAAACAACAGTGTAGTGGGTGATGCTTTCTCTTTAATTAAATTGGGAATTATATAAATACTTTAAACGTTTAGCCGAGCAGACACCAACACTATGGAGCAAGTTCAGTCCAATTTAATAAATGAAGGTTTGGTTTTCATTTTTAAATACTAGGTGGAATTAGTTTTAAATTAACTTTTTAAAAAGCAATAAAGCTGGTTTCATTCTTTTAACTGTTATGCCTTTTTAGATATGAAATCATAAAACAAAAGAATCCACAATGGACTGACATAAAATCACCCCAATAGTCCATAATAATTTTATCTTTCAATTTAGTGTCACACTTGCGTGAAATTGGGGGACTTTAATGGTCAAATCCGACGCAGCACAGGCCGCGATGTGCCGCGTCAATGCAGCGTGTGCCTTTTTCCTTTTTCCTTCTGTCCAATCACATGTAAAGCACAACTAATAAATACATTGAATCATTTAAAACTGACCTGGTGTTTTTACAAAAAACCCACTTAAAACCAGAGAAACTGTGTGAAGCGACGGCCTTTGCCTCGCACGGAGAGAGAGGGACTCAGCGGGGTCCGTTAAAACCGGTCCAGCTTAAGGCCCTCCGACGAAGACGCGTCCGTGTTTTCCGCTGCCTGCAAGAATGTCACCAGGATGCCTTGGGACCCGTTGATATGTTATAACCTTCATTACCACGGCCCCCAGGGTGCAGGTGGCTGCCTGTGGTGTCCTTGGCGCTGTTGTGCGTAAATGTCGCATGCATACATTTTTTTGAAGAGAAAGCGATGAGCTACCTGTTACCGGAGAACGCCTCCCGTTGAGGCAGCGCTCATCCCGGGGGTTTGTCCATTTCTGTCCCGACAAATCAATTAAAAGTTTGCATTGGCGACGGTTTTAGCTTTAGCTATGAGTTTGTCCTAAAAAAAAAAGAAAAAAAGACAATGAAATAGTTGAGTGTGCGATTCGACATGAAGATGTTGTGCTTCGGTGAGCCCTGTTGTGGCCCGTCGCCCACTCTGGCCTATTTCCAGGTGATGCGGCGTGAGCGGTGGACTGACAGGCCTTAATTAGAAGTGCTCAAACGGCGCCTGTTGCCGCGTGCCCTCGGGTGCACGTCGGGCGGCGGCACAACTGTAGGCGTTGACGAATGTTTTAACGCCATGCGGCCCTCTTCGGGAGCAAATTGGCCTCCCCGAGGAAGCATGAGTTTAACAAAACCGAAAAGAAACGGCAAACGCTGCGGCCTAATGGGATGAATGTCCTAATTGGGACGCTTTTTGCAGAGATGGTATTCGGCGAGCACGCTTGCACACGTAAATTAGCCCCTAGCTTCACATCATCTGAAGAATTTTGTGTTGCTTTGTCTGGTTTCACTGCCCTAATGCTTATCTTGTGGTCCCCACTCTCTCTCGTGTTTAGATTAATCCACTGAAAAAGAACGGCAGCCTGTGCTTTGGTATGAATTTTAAAATACGTGTTTATTTATATGTACTAAATGCATCGGTATCATCCTATAAAGAGAAAAAGGGGAGCATCTTGCCTGGAGCTGAAACCAGGTGAGTGAACCAACCTACAGTGTTATGAAAAGCACACTGTAACATAATGAGGTCGTTAGTGGAACACTTCAAAATAAAATCATTACAGTTACCAAAAACTATTCAGAGGAGCAAGTTGTATTACTACGTGTCGTCCGTACAGGTGATGCCTTTAAGCTACACGCTTGAACAGTTGAGACAGTATTTTATTTTGGGGGCTGACATCGTGGGCTTTGACTTTGAAGTCCCAATCACAACATTCCTGGGGTCGTTTCAGCGGGCTCGCTCCGACTCGACGCCCTTTGGTGCCGAGGGATGCGGCGCCTGCGATGCGTGCGCATCACGTCAGAGCTGGAGAAGTTGGTCAAGGTGGCAGGATTACGCAGCACAGTACCGGATGTCGTCCAATTGTACCCTCAAAATAAAATAATATATAACACGGTATTTTTTTATCTCAATGAATACGCGATATTATTTTGTTGTGATTCAAAGTGATGAATACATTATGCCTTTCAAACGATGTATTGTTCCGAACAGTATACGTTTGTAGAATGTTGTACGTTTTTTGATGTTGTCTTAAGATCTTTAAAATGACAATGTAGCAACTCAAACGCATTAAATAGAATTAGTAAACTGCATCCTTTAATAGCCCAAAAGGTGCTTCCTAAAATTTACCTCAAAGTCCACAGCTCTGAGTTCACAACAAACAGACTGGGAAGAAAAATAAATGACATACAATTGTGTTGGACGGGTCACCAATAAAAACTACTTCGTTATGAGAGCGACCTGAGCTCGGGGCGCATTAGTGCAAAGTAACGCCACACGTGAAACGACCGGCTTCACAGCACGAAACAAACACGACCTTTATTCTGAATGCCGCGACCGGAAACGCCGACTTAACTCGGCTTCCTGCAAACACACAGCGTCTCCTGGCGAACATGGCGGCAACTTGACAACGGCAGCGAGATGAAGACGGCGAGGGCTTGAAAAGGAAAAAGAGGTCCGTACCAGGCTGTAGGCCCCTCCGCCGACACAAAGGCAGACCGCTTCGCCATGTTGGAGGAGGATAGCGCCCTTGTCCCTGCTCGACCGAGGCCGGGGAAAACGTAAAACGCGTCGGTGAGTGTTTCTAAAAACGGAGTCGGGGGCTACGCAGAGGAGCGGAGCGGCGCGGCGCGGAGCTCGGGGCGGGCAGGGGAGGGACGGCGGCTTTCGCCGGTCAGCCATGGAGGATGCGGCCCGTGGTCGCCAGCGACTGATTTCCCATCCGGCCCACGCTCATTTTAATGGGAATTACCGCTGAACGCGAAGGCAAGCCGGGACGACCCACCGCCTGACATTCCGAGGGGCAAGGAAAACGCGAAGCAGACCCCCCCACCCCCACACGTCAATGACTGTTGCGGCAGAGGAGCCCCCACGGCGGAGTCGGCCGGTTCCCAAAATATGACCAGGGGTGCTGGGACGTGTTGGCAGCAAGAAGATGACGACGGCTTCCAAATCTGGCTAGAGCCCCCCCGCGACAACCAAAAGCCATTCACCGACTCCGAGCGGGTGCAGAGATGGCGACTGTCCTTGGCTTCCCTCCTGTTCCTCACCATCCTCCTCTCTGATCACCTGTGGTTCTGCGCCGAGGCCAAGCTGGCCCGGACCCGGGTCAAGTTCGCGTCCCCCCACCTCCTCTCCCCCCAGACCCACTCAGCACACAGCAGCCTCAGAGGAACCCCAGATGCTATTTTTATAGGAAACTCTACCAAACATGTGTGGCGTCTCGAAACTTGCCACCGGGATAGTTTGTCCAAGAACTGCTTCACCTTCGCAGACGCCGACCACTTGTGCGGGGGCCTTTCCGACAAAGCGGGGACGCCGCCGGCTGTAAATATGAGCGATTTGTACCTCTCCTTTTGTAACTCCTACTCTCTGCTGGACTTGTTCTACGGGTCGACGAGTCCGGACAATTTGAACTGCAGCCTCGACGTGCTCGGCGACGGCGACCCGGCCAGATGCAGCCTGTGCGTCCAGGCGTACCAGCGCTACGACCAGCACGCCCAGGAGAAGTACGAGGACTTCGAGCTGCTCACCCAGAAATACGAGCCGGGGGCTTATTCGGTGAGGACGTGCATGGAGCAGTGCAAGGTAGGCTGCAGAAAAAGGGAAATGGGGAGGGGGGGGGTGGTGGCGGCCATCTGTTGATTTGGGCCCCGGATAGATGCCAGTTTCGGTCCTCCTCCTCCTCCTGTCGCCATGGAGACGGATGACAGATTCAAGGAGACTCCCGGCTCCGGGCCTCATGTTCATTCATCTCCTCATTGTGTTTAGGCCCCATGCTAATGTGCAGATGGAGGCCCTGCTTGCTTGCTTGTGTGTGTGTGTGTTTTTTCTTCTGTTGTTCTTCTCCAGCATATCTTTAAACATCACCCCGTCCCCGGTGCTCTGCGCCGGTTCTCTGACACCGATGACCGTCCGATTAGCCGCCGTTAACCCGCTTTGGGGTTGTTAGACCCGCGCTGTTACACAAGCTTTCCTAGCCACGGCGTTTATGACCCCTTAATGAGCAGGAAGGAAGCTGTTGGCCTATGCAAACAACTCTGTGTGCGCGCGTGTGTGTGTCCTCATTGCCATGTGTGTTGTCGCAGTCCGCCAGGTGTTCATCATGGCCGCCCCCACTCCATATCGAGAGCGTTTCATTAAAGTCAAGAGGTGGTTTCCCAGCCTAATGTGGCAGAAGGCTTTCTTCAGCTGGACTTGTGTTTGCTGTGTGTGTGTGTGTGTGTGTGTGTGTGTGTGTGTTGTATTCATCAAACAATGATTCACTTGCTTTTATATTCTCTTTTTGGAATGCCGGCAAAGACAACACCGACTTTATTTCTTTTTTAGAGTAGGTGAGGAGAATCCCAGCAGAAAACATTTTTGACGGCACATTATAATTAATATAAACACTCACAAAAAAAGCGCCATCGTGGTTTAACATGTGTAGAGCCCAAAGCGGCAGTCATTCGACAGATAAATCACCAGCTATTCTCTGCTTCTCACATGTCGCTGTAAACTCGTAACTGTCGGGTCTTGGACTTTTGGGTTGTTCTAAGATGTCTCCCTGGGTTCTGGGGACTTTTTGGGGGACAATTACTGAATTAAACAACCACTCAATCAAGAGCAGCCCAAGTTACTGATACCTTCCATGAACCATCATCGCTGGAAGCTGAAACCACTCCCCTCCGACCCAGGTCCATGACTCATGTGGCGTTGGTAAAGCCTGACCCGGGCTGCTTCGGAGGTTAACTTCAAGGTTGGCCCCGCTGCCGGCGACAGACTATATGCAATCCGTGACGGCCTCCTCCAGCACGTTTATCAGCCGCTAATGGGAGCCCGGGCGTGTGACCTTCCTCCTCTTCCTCAGCGAGCTCACCTCTCGACCCTCTGGGGGGGGGGGGGGGGGTAAGACAGTCATCTGGCCACGCCGACTAATATCTTCCACAATGACCCCTCTCCCGTTGCGGCCGGCGCAGACTCGATGGAGCGACCATGTCCAGCTTGCGCTGACCTGACGGCTACCTGCGTTTTACGTGGAGCCCTCGGATGGATGTTTTTTTGTGTAAGTTGTGTCGGGATAAAGCGATAGAGCGCCTCGCATTGAGCCGGGCGGTGTGTGAAAACACACACACCACAAACACATGGCTCACGGTCTCCTTGCTGGGAACCAGAGGAGGCTCTACAACACTTCAAGGGATGATAATTGACACGGCGAGCTGTGTTTTTTGTTTGTGCAGGTCCGCAGGTGGCGCTTTGATTCCTCTAGCCAGAGGTGAGGAATCAAAGAGCGGACGCGGCCGGTGGGCCGGTCCTTGCGATGACGTTCTCCTTGCGAGAGCCCACCGGTTCACCCGGGTGTATCTGCGGATCCATTCGTAATATTTAATGGTGATGAATATGAAAGCGACCTAGGTGGGCCAAAACAAAACCCCACAAGCCTAGTTTATGGTCCTTTTAGCAGTTTAATCCGGCCCGGTTGGGGATGGAACAGGTGGGTCAGGCCTTCCCACCAGAAACGAGGCGTTTTGAGGGCCCTTCCGATCTCACACCAAAATATTGGCGCATTCTTTCGCTCGCCATCGCCGATCTGTTTGACAACACCCTACCCTGCTTCTTCTCTCTCTGCAGCCACAGTGTTGTGAAACAATTTCAAACCAACCACTGATGAGCATGAGCACCTCCTCAAACACTCACTGACTCGCTCTCTCTCACTCTTGTCTCTCTCACGCTCCAGGTCCAATTGAATGTCTAATCTTAGCTGGTGTTTTGTGAGAGTGGAAAGGAGGACAGTGTCCTCCGCGTCCTACTCTCTTCAGATGCTTGTGAAACCGCACACATCTGCATTGATCCGAGCTCCTCTTGAGCCGGAGGGACGGGTGGCGGCAATACCGAGAGGTTGATCCTTATCGATTCGCGCCGAGCCCCTCTGCCATCTCTCGTCCTTCATCGCAGAGCGCAACGCTCCTGCAGCCAATATAGGGCAGTGAAGACATCATGTCACTATCTGAGCCTGTTTGATTGGGCCAAGGACCTGTGTGTGTGTGTGTGTGTGTACAGTTTGTGTAGACCAAGCTGCCCTCTCCTCATCTGTTCCCTCACCATCTGAACAGTGGACAGTTCTACCATTCGCCAGTAAAGGATGTGTAGCAACGAGGATATTGGTTCTCAGTTGGCACTGAGTTTCGGGACAAACTTTAAACACAGATGGAACTTTGTGTAGTTTTCGGGTTAGAACTGCACGTTCTGTTCTTTTTTTCCCTTCAAATAGTTTGGACTGAATTAATTAATTGGTGACTCCTGCGCCGTCACTTGTTCCAAATCAAATTTGTTTTCCTGACTTAATACCTGTAAAGCTAATAGCACGCCCACCGGCTGCTCTTATCTGTGTTTTGATGCCAGTTAGCGACATGGGCGACGTCCACAGTCTGTGATGTTAGCATTGCTGGCGTGCTACCGTGCTGACTTTAGCATTTAGCCTTGAGCATCACAGTTCCTATAGCCTGAAATGTGCCCACCCCAACAAAAAATGAAAGTAATGTCCATCGGAGAGTGAAGATCCATTGACATAACTTGAAGTACATCTTAACATAGATTTTTAGCACTAGATTTTGATAAGTGTTCACAGACGTCATTGATTGTAGTCTAGATCGGAACAATCAGGTGTCACATCAGAGGGATTCGCTTTCATGTGGAGGACCAATATTCCCACTAGTCCTGTTTGGTAGTAGCTGTGTTCTTTGTATTCCAGTGTCTTGTGTACACAGCCAACCGATAGTGATTATAGCGGCTCTCCGGCTGGAGCGGGTGCTGGAGACGCGGGTAGCTTTGATTCGCGCGCCCTCCCCCCTCCGCTAATCCCCCTGTACTTGACAACAAGACATGGATACGCGCACTCTCTCATCACGTGCTAACAATTGTGCTTTATCTCCTCTGCAAGAAAATATGCTGTGATCACTCATGCCTTCATTTAATATAAAAAAAGCTGCCTTTGTCAGCCTTTTATTCTTTACTCATATTATCCTTGTGCGCACTGATGAGCGACAGATTGTTGCATTGGGGCCACACGGTACTGCTTACACGTGTGATTTACACCCGCGGGGGGGTTGTGTGTGAACGCTGACCTTGGAGAGGGCTTCGAGATTTTTGGCCCACTCCGCGAGACTCCTTTTTTTTTATTTTTATGAATGGGCAGCTCCCTGAGCAGCATGCCAATGAGCCGGGGAGGAGAGCGAGCGAGAGGGAGAGGGAGAGGGAGAGAGGGGCGGGGGGGGAGAGCGGGAGCTGCAGTGTACGGCAGCGCTTCCATGTTGTTTTAACTGTGAACGGGGAGGCTGATCAGATCACGCGAGATAACATGGGGGGGGGGATTGAAAGTGGGTTAGCTGACTAATGGGCTTTGTTTAACCTCTGGCATTTCCATTATGGGTGCAATGTGAAGTCATTTCTGTGGCATACAGTAATGTTGTCAATCAAAGGTGGAAATCATAATTAAGGCCACGATGTCACTTAGGAAGGATTCCATCTATGGAACCGATGTTCCCATCAGCCACAGCTGTATTTTGTGTTTAGGGTTGATCGTGTTAGCGTTTTGAAGCCAGACAATAACCACTTTGCATCTGCTGAACATAATTTTAGCATGCTAACGTTAGCGTTCAGCTAAAAGTACCTCCTGTTTAGCCTCGCATAGCTTCCTAGCTTTTGGGTCACCATTTGGTTTGAAACTATTCCATGTATATATTTATTGTATTTTAAAAAATGGCTCTGTATTTTAAAGGACAGCTCCATCATTTTGGTCAAAATTCAATCTGCACTGTCTCTTTCCCATAATGCAACTCAAAGTCCCAACTTTGATGCATCACGATGACAGAAATTGGGCTCGACACTTGACAAATCATTCATACTTTAACAATCTCAGCCACACAATTGCTACTTATTATCATTTGAAATAAAATCTGTGTAGTTTCCCTTTGTTGGGTTTATCATGTCAAGTGCATAAAGCCCTGAAGAAAAAAAAAACACACCCACACGCAACTATTAAAATGACATCTTAATAAGTATAAATCATCTCGGGAGATGAATCAATTTCAGTTGCTGTTCTCTTAAGAACAACCAAAATATAATTTATAGTAAAAAGATTACTTTTAAGTTGTTTCACGCAGGACGCCCCCCCCCCCCGCTGGAGAAACACCTAAGGGTCAGTACCGTCATACCTTCATGCGCGGCAATTAGTTTTAACAGTGGGGTTGTCTGCACAGGTATGTGGATGGATTATTTGTACAGGGGCGGGTATAAGCCTGAATCGCACTATCCCGTGTGCCGTATTCAACTAATGTAGAAGGAGCGCCGGAGAGGTTTTGTGACCTTGTTCGGGGAGGGACAGCGTTCTCCACGGCTGGTGGTATCCGATAAAAAGTGCTGACTACGCATTTCAGATCCCCTGGGGGCTGCCTCCAGATGATCACATCTAAATCCCTGCGCCACTTGGCACTAATGGGATTATCTGACTTCCCCTTACTCCCCGGTAAGGCTCCTCGCGCACCCTGTGTGCCCCCCCCCCTCCAGTAAAAGCCTCTTTTTTTTTTTTTCAAACCAGGTCTGCATGAACA